AGAATGCAACACAGTTTCAGCACTGCAGTAACAAAAATTAAAAAAAGGAAAATGATTAGTTATAATTTAGGTTTCTGTGTTTTACACTTGGATTTCCTTGTGTTTAGAACACTTGCCTAGGATGAGCCCTTCAGCAGAGCAGGGAGTTATAATATTATGGATTATGGAAATGTACAGGTAATCTGGGTTCAAATCTCCTCAAAGGAGGAAAATGAACCTATTTAGCTTCAAGGGAGAGGAAGAGAAATCATCATCACCATTTGTGATTCTAGCCCATTCCCCCAAGAAGATACTTCCAGCTAATCTATTCAACATGCAAATTAATAAATCTGGCTTCATCAGAAATGTGTTTAAGCAAATACCATGCMAACTGCCACACTTCTCATTACTAATTTTCTTTATGTGAAAGAAAACTTAAGTAATATCTTAATTTACATTTAGAAAATAGACCTATTCTCAGAGGAACTGGATTTCCCATCTTTTATAAATAACATATGGCATGAAGTGGTTTACCGTCTTAATTCAACTATGCATGTGAATGAAGGTATTCACCATGCACAAGCATTTGCAGAGCATGACCTGAACATCCTAACACTGCACTGACCTTGCTGTGGCAGTTCTGTCCATCAGTAAACAGAGACCGTCGCCTTTGAAATTTCACATGCACTTTTTCAATTGGTAATGTGTTTCTGCATGTTTATGTGACACATATGCAAGAAGCCTTAGTCTTGATCACGTCTGTTTGGCCTGGAAATTCAAGAAATTGTAATAGATCTGTTTTACATCATTTTATCAAGATTTTCATATTATAGATAATAGACAATCCATACCAAAAAAAAAAAAAAAAAAAAAAAGACTCGCTGTGTATATTGTAATATTGTATATTGTATATTTTATTTTCTTTGCTATTTCCAACAATTAAAACTTCAGTGAGATTCTGGGGAATTCTTACTCTAGACAGGCTTGCCCTTATTTACATGGCTTCTGTGGGAAAATAGAAGGCATAATTCTAGTGATATTTTAGTCATTTGAGATGCAGGGTAGACACTATGGTATTTAGCTGCTCTCTCAGATACACACATCTTCCACTCACATGCGGTAAGATGATTTATTCCCCCAGCTTCAGCCCTCTAGCCCTTACTTACTGTAACACCTCTTTCAAGTGTATCACATGGAGCTTACAAGCGAGAAGGCTTATCTCCACAGAGCGGCACATGCAGAAGAACTAATTTATTCTGTATATGTTTAAAGTTGCTTCTACGGCAATTACAGTATGCAAAGCTCTCATAGGAAAATCAGCAAGAATGAAGTCAATAGGTTGCTACAGAAATGTCTTTTATACATATATATATCATATATATATATATATATGCACTTAGGAGAGATTCCCATTACAGAATTGATTATTAAAAAAAAAAAAAACTATAAAAGTAAAAATAATACTTTCCAGTAAGTCCTGGGGGTTTTCGTAGCATATATTTATAAAGAATCTCATTAAGTTCATCTTCAACAACTTCTGTGGGACATTTTCATCAACATACTTGCTTACCCTGCCTAATTCCACTCTTCAATATATGGTATTTTTCTAATGTAATCACAGTAGAAAAGATACAAAAGAAAAGTTAATTGAAGTGGATTATGCTGCTATACAGGCTATCTTTATAAGAAGGTTTAAATGTCCACTGTCTCCTAAGGAAATAGACAGAAAGCAGTTCAGTGAGGGGTGATTCAGCAATTCATAAGGGATGATATATTGAAAAATGGCCATCACTTTATTGGCAACACATGATTCCCCTCCAGGTTGTCCCTTCCAGGCAGTACTGGTAATACTTTTGTTGTTCCAGTTTTAATTTGGAAACTAACAGTGACCTGGGCTGGAAACAAACAAACAAACAAACAAAMGATTTGATCAGAACTGGAAAAGGGCTCAGAGCAGACAAGGACAAATAGACAAACATGGAGCTAAAAGCAACATCTTGGCTCAGTCTATTGCCTGGTTAAAAAATCTGTGCACTGTTTAATAGAAGTGCTGACAAGGGAAGTGCAATACATGTCAATTTGCACTGGATGGCTGATTCTGTTTTAAAACTTGCAATACGCATATTACAGTTGTATTTTTATTACTTGCATATACTTGTATTACAGATATGCACTTGTAATAAATTAAAACAGGTCAATGACTTCCCAAGTTTGTCATGATTCGTTTGTTTGTCCTGACAAGGAAAAATTCTGCCTCGGGGTTCAAATTCTTCTTGGTTGTGCAAGTATAACCCCAATTAGATCAATGTAGAAACAGTCTTGGTATTTATTTTCACACAAACTCAAGCCAACATGTTASAACAGTCCAAATCATAACTGCGTTAGACTAACATTAACACTTCAGTTTAAGGTACTTTATCMATGTAATGTTTGCTTATCCATGCAAACTATTTAAATAATTCTTGTAAATTATTTTATCCAATTAGTAAAATTTTGACATCACCCCTAACAGCAAGRTATATATTTCATGTTTAAAAAAGTAGATACTACATTTTTGATATCTAAAATTTAAATTTCTGACTCTTTGTGAATGCTATCAGTAAGAGTGAAACACCATCCAGTGTAGTTCTGTTTAATTACACCGCACTAATGCATTTCAACCTGACATCCAGGCTCAAGACAGATCTTAAAACTGAGTGACTACTCAGTTTTATATTGCCATAAATCCTCGTTCTTTGGCTTTCCGCAGTCGTGTCAACTCAGCTCACAGCGTGTCTGGGGCAGATCACATTTATTGGCCTTCAAGGAGCCCTGCCTAGAGCAAAGCAAGGAGCAAAAGGAGGAGGAAGGAGGCTGGGAAGATAAACAGGAGTAGTAAAGGCTGGAAAGCTGACTGCTGGCCAAGCACAGCTTGCATACGTTCAGGGAAATTCTTGCTTATTTTTTTACCATAAAGTTAAAGGAACTTTGGAAGTGATTTTTATTCAGTCAACTTTTAAGCTGTATTTTTCAAGTATTTTCCTCAGATTTTTTTTTTTTTTTTTTTTTTTTTGGTAGTTCTTTTTATAGCAAACAAGTACTTGTTCCTCAAGCAGCTATTATTAAAATAAAACAAAAAAAGCAATCTTATTTCTCGCTTTTGTTATCTAGAATCTGGAAGGATATATATGACTTTTTTGGCATCTGGTCTGTATCACTACAAGCTTGGGATTCAGATGAGACCCTGCTTCTTTCGTGGCTGCACCTGGTTTCCACGTGCATAGACTCGAGCAGCTTCAACTTGGAAAACAAATAACTCCAGGGTGTTTAGAGAGGGGCAGAAGGGCAGGCAGATGGGAGAGGATGTATCCCTTAGGACAGGATGTATCCCTTGGTCCACAGTTGAGGCAGAGGTGCCATTTTTCTAACCCAACTCGAGGAGATACCCAGCAGTGGCARGCAGAGAGGAAATTAAAGGCGTTGCTAACATCTGATACAACAAGGTGCAGCGCCAAGAGGAAATGAAATCAGTTATATCGCCAGCTCTGTGAAGCCACAGCTCAGAGGAAACCTTCACTTCCACAGGCAGCAGCCCCGCCAACTGCCTCCTCGMACTTCCGAGCCACCGCTGGCCGTTCCTGGATCATTAACTGGACGGTTCCTGGCCGTTCCTGGCCCGCCGGCGCGCGAGGGACGCGGCTCCCGGCGCACGGGGGCGACCAGCCGCGGGCGGCCATCTTAGGTGCGGGCAGGGCGCTGCGGGGCCGCCATGTTCCCCGAGGGCGGGCGGCGGCGCGCGGGGGGACGGAGCCGCCTCTGCCCGCCCCGCGGCCGCGCCGCGCGGAGCCGCCGCCTGCCCGTGAGTCCCGCGGAGCGGCCGGTTGGGGCTCCGTGTCCCGTCCCGTCCCGAGGGTGAGCGCGAGGCGCCGGGCGGCAGCCCCCAGCCCCGCGCGAAAGCAGCCGCGCCGGGAGCCGCCGCCGCCGTGTGGAGCGTTCCCCTGCTGCGTGCCCGGGTTTGGGGCGGCCGGGTCGCTTCCCGTTTGCCCTTTCTCGCTTCCACGTGATGGAAGTAAAGCCCTGATGCCGCCGCCGGGGCCGCGGGGAGCGCCTGTTGCTCACAGAGCAGTAATAACAAGCTGCTGGTGACCCGTTTTTGTCGTCCTGTTGCGCTGCGCGAAGTGCAGAGCAGGGCCAGGGCCGGAGGTCGGGATTTCTGAGCAGCAGGGTTGGTTAAACTGTTAACTCGGGACTAGGTCGGCGCCTTCTCTCTGCTGTTATTACTGTGTTTGAATAAAGGGGCACCTGCCCGGACACAGGGAACAGGTAGGATCCAGCTCGGGTGCTTGCTTCTGCCTAACTGCTAAAGTAATGAGCTCTCCAAACAGGGCTCRGGCTGAATCACTAAGTCCCCAAGTAGTTTGGGTTGGGAGGGCCAGGGTAGGGGRCTCCTGTTCCAGCCTCCCACTGAGGGCAGGGCTGACTTCAAAGCGGCATCGAGTTTTTTGGGGCCGCCTTTGTTTGGGATTTGAATCTCGCTGAACTCATTCATGAGAATGCTCAGCATCCTGAAAGGTAAAATCGTTGAAATCAAACCAAGTATATCTGTTAAATTCACCCAAAGGGCTTTCCCCATTAGCCTGGAGAAGAGAAGACTCAGAGAGGATTTGGTCAACATGTACRCATACCTGAGGGGAGAATGTAGGGAGGAAGGGGCCAAGATCTTAGTGGGGGACAGTGACAGGACATGGGGCAGTGGGTACAAGTTGAAACACAGGCAGTTCCATCTCCATGTGAGGAGGAACTTCTTCCCTGTGAGGGTGCCAGAGCCCTGGCACAGGCTGCCCAGGGAGGCTGTGGAGTCTCCTTCTCTGGAGGTCTTCCCAACCCGTCTGGATGCCGCCCTGTGCTCTGGGTGTCCCTGCTGGAGCAGGGGGTTGGTCTGGATGATCTTAGAGTCCCTTCCAACCTCAGCAATCCTGTGACTCTGTGAATGCGAACGACTCCTTTTCCATAACAGGCCAGCGGAGCATCCCGGCTTGGTGCAGGCGGGAGGCCCCGCGCACTCGGGTGCGATGCAGCCCCTCATCGTGGTGCACGGCGGCGCCGGCCGCGTCTTCAAGGAGCGCGAGGGCGGCTGCCGCGCCGGCGTGGTCCGCGCCGCCCTGCGCGGGCACCGGCTCCTCGCGCGCGGCCGCGCCGCCCTCGACGCCGTGGAGGAGGCCGTGCGGGCCATGGAGGACGATCCTCACTTCAATGCAGGTAACTGCTTCAGAAAGCTGCTGGAACCAAGACTTAAGTGGCTTTGGAATCCTTTTTTTTTTTTTTTTTTTTTTGGGTCCAGCTAATCCTGAAAATGCTGAGTTATGTTTTATTTGAGTCGTGCGCATTGCAGTGGGATAAATATTTGCATTACAAATGCTTTGCTTCTCCGTAGGTAGCAAAATGGCGTGGTGCGTAGCAGTTTCTTGTGAGCATGCCTAGGCGCCTGAGTTAGTCTTGCTCCGTTTTCAGAYGTTTTATACTTGCTGTTTCATGCTGGTACTGCAGAATTACTGTTCTGTAAATGTTCTGTTGTTATGTGGTGTCTTCAAGGCATGGATTCCTTAATGGTGTAGATGTTTATTTAACATTCATATTTATATTCCTTGAATATGGCCTTGAGCGAAATTTGAGCCTTAATATTTTGCCTCTACCAATTGCCTGGGGAAGGCTGCTCTCGGAAATTTTATTTTATTTTTAATTAATTCTTATAATTAGTGCTTTGGTAAATAATATTATAAAAATAATGTAATAAGGGTATGTCATTGAATTCATACATTGAGTGTTTTAAACTGCACTTACTAACAAATATGTTTGTATTCTGTAATATTTTTCTCCTCTTCATATGATCTCAGGCTTGTTTTGATGAATTTCAGTGAAAATATTTCCCCCACCAAGGTATGTCAGGAATGACCATAAAAAAGAAAGACCTGTCAGTGTCCAGTGTTTTAGATAGTGTGCTTGTTTGCAATGAGGGCATTGTGTTTGCAGAGATTCCCTTATATTATTCCCTTATAATTGAGGGCAAGGGAGAGATTTTAACCTCAAATTGAAGTTATATTGATTACAATATATATAACCGTATATAACTGACTTGGGTTGGACTTCCTGCTTTTTAGATGATAATCCTGAAGCAGATTTGGAGGTATGGTGTGTACTAGGAGGCTATTATATACTTACTATTGGGCTTGTGTTCTCTCATAGCTTGTAACTTAGCATCTTAACTTGTGTTTCTCTTTACCACTCTCTAAACCTGTCATTAGCCTTTATAGCTTTGTATTGCTTAGGTACTGACCCAATCAGTACCTGTTCAGCCTTTAGCAGTTCTCATGCTTCTTGGGTATATATCTTCTCTGACAAATAATTTAGATTTTTTTTTTTTTTTTAACACAAACTGCTTCAGGGTAGGAAAAATCCCTTATTCTTGAGCTGCCTGATATTAGCTGTCCAGCTGATGATGCAGAAGCAACTGCAATATAAATCATTTAATAATTCTCTGCATCTCTTAATCTGCGTAAACAGTTGCATACCTTCTTAGTTTGCTATACATTGGTTTTGATGATTCTGTGTAAAAGAAAAAAAATATTGAGACAGGAGACAAATTTTAGCTGTAGTGTAACTGTCTCTGTAGTGAAGGCGGAGGTCACAATAGTTTGCTTAAGCTCACTTATCCATAACACCCTGAAGAACTTGCACACTTTTCCTGGTGAGCAGGAGCACAGTAGTAGCAGTACACATGCTGTATTTGAATATGAATATGTTTTTGAATATTTTTTATTTTATTTAAAAAGAAATCCTTSATTTGGCATCTCATCAGTAGTATTGCATTTGCTGAACCATGCTGAGCTTTGGGAAATAGGTGAAAAGAGGTGAAATGAGCCAGAACAGAATATTTTCCTTACTTTAGAGCATTGATCTGGTCTTTCATCTGGAAAAGGAGGCCCTTTCACTGACTTCTGCTCTACCTCTGTTTCTGGTTTGTTTCTGCTGCTGTGGGAGGGAAGGTCGTGCAGTCACTTCATGGTTACCTCCTTGCTCCAGAGCACGGATTCCAGCCTCGCTCCAAGCTAAGTCATCGAGCTGCCATCCGTGAGCAGGGTGTGCTCACACTGCAGCACTTCTTCCATCTAGAGGTGATCCTATCATTTGAGAATAGGACCTTAGGCTTTACCATGTCCAGTCACTTAATTACAACTTTACACTTAACATATGACATGCAGTATGTGCATGTGACAGCCTTTTTCATGGTCTGAGGTCATGTTTTATCCTTGATGGAGAATAAGGGTGTGTTTTTTGTTTGGTTGTGTGAGTTTTTTGTTTGTTTATTTATTTTGTCTGAAGGCAATTTGCTCCAACGTATTCTTTATTCTAATAATTCAGTATTTATATGTTGTTTGTAATATATTAAATGAGCCATTTTTAACAATACTTGCTTAAACCTTAAGCCCTTGTTCGAGTTTGACTRTTTTGATGATGGAGATGGCAAGTAGTGTTGTAATCACTTACCTGTGCATCTAACTGTGTTAATGCTTGTTAGCCTCAGCTGCTCTCAGGAGCTGGGGAGAATGAGCTGCAAGCTGTGTGAAGRGGGCCCTGATTGGAGTGGCTGTTAAAAACTCATCATGCGGCATTTATCTCTGTAAAAGTAAAAGCAGTTTTATTGTCATGTTTTCTGTAAAAACATGGACATTGYTAAGAGGCAACAGAAAGATTGGGAAGGATCAATTTATGTCCCTTTTCAGATGATGGGGTCCAGCTGTACTCTAGTTGCATCTCCACACAGGCATGGTGCTGGGCTCAGGAGCGGCACTGAGGTCGCTGAACTGACYGTCTCAAGGAGTTGGGCAGCATCCAGCTAACAATAAACTCATCAAGCTCCTGCCTGTGGCGAGGAAGTGACCGTGGCTCCGTTTCCTTCGTGCCATATCCAGTGACTAGCAGTGTTAATAGCTTGGCCTGTGTACTTCAGATACAGGAACTGTCTTTCAGGTGCAGTGATCCTTGCACGCTCTTCTTAGCCTTTCTGCTGGACTTAGCTGCAGTGTACGGTGTAGATGGTGGGAATTTGGGTAATCCTCCAAGCATCCCTGCTGGCATTTGGAAATGCCAGATGCGTTCCTTATGAATGGTCCCTTAGATTTTCCCTCTGTTGCTTATTTGCTCCCCTGCCCTTGACTCATAACCGAGCCCTTTCCCTGCCCTACCCGAGCGCTCCTGCAGTTATGCAGCTCCTTCGAAGAGTGACGTGGCCCCTCCTGCCCTTCTGGAAGGCAGTTGGAAAGACAGGCCCATCTGGAAGCATGTGGGTAAGAGCCAGGAGGCCTTCCTGGCTGCAGAAGGAAGGATTCGTGCAACCTCAGCTGACCAGAACTTTGCCGTTTAGCCCTGCCTTGTACCACCTTTCATTGCCACCAGCAGCTAAGTCTGTGTGGATCCCTGGAACAGGTGGAATGAGTTGTGCTTTGAGGTTATCTCCACTGGCAGCAAAAGGAGATCTTTGTAGGTAGCTACCATCAGCCAGAGGAACTCTCCAGTGGATTTCTACTCCGAATGTGACAGTAGGAGCTTGTTTAAGGCTTGGAGGAGGAAGGGCCCCTTTCTTTTATCAAGAAAGAGGAACYTCAATTCTTTTTGTGTCAATTATCTGCATAATGTAATATGCACAGTGTAACAGGAGGTCGGTGCCCRGTGCAGGTGATTAATGGCAGTGAGTGAAGCCCTGGGATATATCCCCTGAGAGATGGGCAGCAAGTGCTATGACTTACAGCAATGGCAGTCRGGAAAGGCACTGGTGGGGCTTCCTGGGGAGCCAGGCATCCTCTGGAAGCGTAAGGGAGAAGCTGGAAGAGTGATGCCAGCACAGGGACTCAGAGCAAGTACCTGTGTGGGTCAGAGTAGTCCAGAAATCAGCAGGTTCTGAATGACGCAGRGCTGAGCTCTAGCATAGGTTTTGGTTTTGGGAGGGACAAAAAATAACCTTTTGGGGACAGAGTTCAGGTACTGGGGGGAAATTTGGAGATTGCAGGAGGAAGTTTACAGGGTTTTGTTGCCTTGTTTAGCAGARGATTGAACTTTGTAGTCAAGTCTGAAATACACTGGTCGTGCCCACAGTTGCTAATGATGGTTTCTGATTTGCATTAACATTAGATTCACAGAACAAAAATCTGTTTTAGCTTTGCACAGTCTTCAGGTCTTTCTACCTAGTTTAGTGCGAGTCTGCCAGGACATTTTTTCTTTTTTTATAACTTGTTTTTATATTTAGTCTTCTCCATATTCTATTAACAAGTCTTGTGTATTTTATCACTTACTGCTTACCATTCCACTGCTGTGCAGGTATTGGGGGGATATATATATATATATATATATAAAAAATATATATAAAATTTGCATTATTTCATTTTGCATATCATTAATTTTAGATTAGGTTAGTGATAGCATTGATAATTATAGAAGAAAATAACTACCCAACATTTTATTACTTAACATTGCTCTTTTTTTCCCTAATTCCTTCATCTACTGTTTTTATTTGGCGATGAAGAACATGATATTTCAAGTTTTTGGCACACTAGTCAGTGGATGCTTTAGCCTTTTGTTTTTCTCTAACAATTTCAGCAATTTTTGGGGCTGTTAGATACTTATCTCCTGATAGGATTGAACCCTGAATTATTTTGCTGGGTTATGTTGTATTCTACTGTTTGGAAAAAAAATATATAAATATAAAGTAGCTTTATGTGTACATAAAATGATTTGGGTGATAGAGAGTCCTGTTTTTCRCTTTATGTTTATCACTTTACCTTTCATATCTCATAGAGCATTTCAGATGGGATTACACTAATGGCATTCCATATACTGAATCAATGCTTTGCGTTTGAGTCACAAGTGTGTTTTCCATCTTAGCAAAGAATAAAAAAAGCTCTTCATTTTTAAGTAGCCATTCTAGCATGCAAGGCTTCTGTTAATGGCACAGGGCTTTGCCAAGTGTAGCCTTCCTTGGCAGCCTCTCTGCAATTCTTTTTATAAGCAGGAGGTAGTCACTATCAATAAGTCAGAAGACAAACTGTAAAAGAGAAAGCCTGCTTGATGGTGTCTCATAACCGAATTGTGATGTTAGCTGTTAATAACATTGTTCTTTTTCTCTTCTTTTTCTTCTTTTTTTTTAGGCTGTGGATCTGTTCTAAACGAAAAAGGTGAAGTAGAAATGGATGCCATTATCATGGATGGAAAAAATCTAGCTTCAGGAGCAGTGTCTGCAGTTAAATGTATAGCAAACCCTATAAAACTTGCTCGGCTTGTTATGGAAAAGGTATGGGGAACAAGTACTCACACCTGCAGCCTTGTGCATGTGCTTTCCCATAACCAGCCTGTGCCTGAGCGGAAAGGCTGCCTCATTTCTGGGGTGTGCATTTTTCAGCCTGCTAGTGCAGCTACACTGTGGTTGGAAAGGGAATGCGTTTGCGAGAACACTTATTAACAAAGAGGATTTATGTCTCTTTAACCTTTCCAAGTGACTTTTGAGAAAACGAAACCTTTCTTTTTTTTCCCTAGTCTATAAAGAAGATTTAAATACAGCTTGTCCTCAGAAGCTTTCAAAGGACGTAAGAATTATTTTTGCCCTTAATTGGACAGTAGTTCTTTTTTGAAAGTGGAACTTTTCACTAAAATATAGATATTTTTTAAAATGTGTGCCCAGCAGAAAGCAGTGTTTAAACTTCTAAGGAATAAGATTTGTCCCTTTATATGGAGTTTATCCTGTTATTCGGGGGATAAAATGCTGGAGAAAATGTTTGGTGTTTTTTTTTCTTTTTCTGTTAATCATTTATTTTAATGCCATTGTTCAGTTAATGTTCCAAAATCGCTGTTTTGATCTCCATTTTCTAGTGATGAAATCTCCTTTAAGTCAACAAGAATAAAGTCAAGGCAGAAGAWATTGTTTCTGAGAAAGTAACATATAAAAGCATTTAAAAGCACAAAAATATACTACCCCCATCCCCAAAAAACCCAAGCAGAACAACTTTGTCAAGTACGATGAGATTTTTCTTGTCATTTCTCGACACTTCTAGTGCTCAAAATGTTGAGGCTAAATTTGAAATGAAATAGTAAAATCCAGCTGTGAAGGAGCAAGCATAATTATATGACTGTGAAAATACGGAATGAAAAGCACATCCATTTTGTGGTCAAGTGTATTTCTTTTTGCCCAGATGCCAGGAATTCTGCTTAAAAGATGMAAGTCACATGTATATATAAGCATGAACTGTTTGATATATCTTAAGCTAAGTTGTAGTAGYTTCTGTGGTAGATAGTGCAGTTTGGAACACCCACTGATGCTGCTTTCCTGCCTGGTCCTAGGCAGGAATTAGGAGTTCCTGTATCCGATATGTTTTCGTTGGTGAAAGAGGGAACAAGGGAAGAGGAAATCTTGGTGTGGAATTAGAAAATACTTTGAACTCGGTGACCTGTGGATGCTGAGGTTGGAGTTTTCATGGGTTGCTGAGCATGTGTGAAGAAAAACAGCACCACCAACAAAAGCACCTCTTGGGATTATCTGTACTTCTGTTCCTTTTGTGGCACAATAGGGGCTCCATCTGGTGGTGGAAGGAATCCCTTAAAATGTTACTGCCCACGGGCGTCTAGTTGGCTGTCGCTGTCWCTAGGCATCTCTGGGCTCCGACTGTCCAAACTGATAGTGCAGAGGAAAGGAGGGCACCACCGTAGTTTCCATTCATGACTTACTRAAATGTTGAACTCTCTAGAGATGAAGGGCTTAGTTCATTAACTAATCCAGGAAATCCTTGAGAAAGCAATTAAATTCCTGTTCGATGATACTGTGTGCAGTGAACAGAGATAGGATGCATTGAAAGGGCTTTCTGTTTTTTTTTTCTTTTTCCAGTGGGGCAGGTAATCCACTCTCTGCCCCAAYGTGTTTATTGAATGGCTCTCACATAGACTGGACCACACGAGCTGCCTTTGGGTATCTTCTCCCGGTACTGATTTGCCCAGCTSTTTAAATTAGACTAAATTAGACTTTAAATTAGTCTAAAGAGAACTTAACTTAGAGCACAGACTGCTTGATACAAAGGTGCCAAGCCCAACTCCTGCTCTGTTCTGTAGGATGCCAGGATAGATTCTCACCRATCCTTTTGGTGAGAATTCCAGGCAAGTGCAGAAGCTTGAGGGTCCTTTYCCTCCCCATATTCCATAAAATTCATGAAACTTGCTATTGTTTGTTTTTTCTTATTCAGAACTCTTTCTGTCTTTTTGTACTATGTCCAGACTACAAGTGTATCCCAGGAAAACTGGACCTTTGAAGTTAGCAAATACATTCATGAAGCTGTAGAAGACAAATAGACTTTTCCAGTCCTTTGCCACGGTTCCACCCACTCTTACGATGGCAATAGGCGTTGAAAGAAAGACACAATGACTTCTTGCTCAGATAACTCTTCTTAGTGAGGATTGCAAGGAAACTGTCACTGAAGCTTGTTCCTCTGTAGGCAAATATTTCTTGTTTGTGGATCTCACGGGGCAGGTGTATTACCACAAGGTGCATATGGGAGAGGGAATGCTTACATATATGTAAATATATRTATTTACATATTTAAATTATTAATTCTCTATTCCTGAAGCAAGCAAGTGATGGAGGAGATGGTCTTCTCAGGTAGATAAAGTCATAGGAGAACTTCAGTGGTCTTTTCTAAAAAGAAAGTTTGCTGCTGGTGTTTGGGCGCAGGGGCAGCGGGGGGCAGCATTGCACAAAGAAGTTCTGTTCCAAGGCCAGGAACCTCAGCTTTGTCCAAAATAGACAGATCTCATATCATTTGGCAGCATCTCCTACTGGGTAATATTCACCCCACTTTCAAGCATCCAGGCGAGTTTTCCTTGCGACCCTTCATGTCGTTCTGTATAGCAGTGCTGTCACAAAGAGAGGACTTAACTTGCAGGAAAAAGATAGTTAATTATTTTCAAATATTTGCAATTACGGCTACTACATGTGTGCATGACCATTCAGGATGGAACTGAAAGTTTATGCACAGTTTTTGCTTGTATAAATGTTTGAAAATGTTAGTGTGGAGACCGTGTTAGGCTGCAGCAGAGCTCAGTACCTGTGGTTTGGAGAGAAGAGGTTCTGCTCAAGTCTAACCCTCAAAACTGCAGTGCTGRGGCTGGCTCGTGGTGCTGATTGCTGGCCCTTGCTTTAGCCGTGCTGCAGCATCTGAAATGGGAAGCTTTGAGACCGTACGTGTTCTGCAGAGCCCAGCTTGCCCCACATGCTGCACTGCAGCCTGCCGGSCTGCCGGCACGTGGCTGCTCCCAGCGTGCCAGGGAGCTTCCTTTGGGCCCCAGCCTGGAGCCTGTGTGCTCTGCTACTGCCATAAGGGCCTATGGCCAAAAGTTGGCTGCTGTGCCCTTCAGTAACCCTGGGCAGTATCCTGAGACCCCTGCTCCTCCAAAAGCCTCATCTTTTTAAATGATGATGTCTGTGCGCTGGTATAAGAAGTTGATGTTTATTTTTAGGTCGGATGTTAAAAACAAAAAACACTAACCGAGATTTCAGAGCTTCTAGTAATAAAGTTAGGAGGGTTAATGAAACAAATGTGGCAAGTTTCTCTAAAAATGGAAGCATGCAGACTTTGAAGCATGGACTTAACTAAGCTTACTGACTTAAGATCAAGTTGGTACRTTGTTGAACGGAAAGATCAAAATAGAGCTTAGCGAATGTAAATATTGTTAGAAGAGAGAAAGCAGTCTTGTGTGAAATCTGAGAAGAACATTTTGTTCTTATATATGAAATTCAGGGTCCCTAAGAGCAGCAACTAGTAAGGGAAGTATTAATAAGTAATCTAGCTAAAAAACACTTTASCATATGGTATTTAAATCTTTTGTGATCCTGCTTCTACAAAGTGTAGATATTTTAACCAGATCAGGGATTTATTTACTGTTCTTTCCTGTGATTAAAGCCATTCTAGATCTCTTAGTTAACGGACAAACCAGTCATTAAGATAAGTAAAGACTTGGAGATGGATTGAAGATAATATAAAGAAGTTTAATGCAAATTAGCAAAAAAAAAAAAAAAAAAGAGCAAACTTACCACATTTTCTACTATAGTCAGTTTTAAATAGATTAATGTAGTTCTGTTCAAATGCTGAAGGCTTTTATCTGTGTTGTAGAAAGCAGTAACACTTTTCTAGTAGAAGAGGAGATAGGCATAGAAATCAGGGAAGTTTAAAAATAAAACCAAATCTGGAATGTCTTCTAGATACATATTTCTAAAAATGAAGAGTGGTCMTACAGAATTATCCGTATAAAACAAATAATGTCAGTCAAATATTGTTGTTTTCTGTCTCCTGCAGACGAAACACCTGCTGCTCACTGGCCACGGGGCTCACCTCTTTGCTCGGGCCATGGGGATTCCTGAGGTCCCAGAGGAGAAACTCRTCACCGAAAGATCCCGGGAGAGATGGAGGAAGAACCTCGAGCCAGATTCCAACCCTGAAGAGTTTCAGAAGTAGGGCTCTTGAAAATAGGTTTGAGGTTGAAATAGAGGAATTGGTTAAAAAAAAAACCCACAGAATGTGTAGGTTTATTCTCAGATTTGAGGATATTTCAGTTCTTATTGATACTGTCCTCTGTATATCCTCAGTGAAAGTAATGAATCAAATTCAAAATGCAACAGTATATGCTCTTTATGCAATGCAAAAATATTGTTATAGAAAAATTTTTATATATACAAAGCAAAACTTCTATACTATATATAGTATAACACTGTATTTGCTTTGTGTAAGTAACTGGTGAATGAACAAGTTCCTTAATACACGAGAAGGAAGATTGTTGCTTAGTGTTGGCTTAGTGTGGGTTTAGTGGCATTAATGGTGGACAGGATTAGAACTTGTCTTTGCTCTTAAAATCACCAGCTACAGAAGTGCCTAGAGCAGCTTTAGCAAACAAATTACTTACCACAAAACAACTGTGGCTTAAAAAAAATCAGTCCACATGCCCAAATGTATGTTTTTAAAAACTGGTTTTGAAATGTAAATGATTGGGTGTCTCTCTAAACTGAATTAGATAGTTGATGTCATCTGAGTTTGGCCTGTGGGGCTTTCTGAGTGCTGATACGGCTGCAGGTAGTGGGGGGAAGAAAAAAATAGACAAGAAGATCAGTATAGTGATGGATGTTAATGTGTATGTAATTGGATTGTAATAGACATCACAATAATAGCCATTTAGAAAGTAAGCAAACCTGACATAAAATAGAAGGAAGGTGAAGTGGAGGTAAAAAGAGGAAAAATCAAGCATCAAAAACGTCTTTTCTGTCTTGGTGGGATAGGCATGAATATTATTTTTTTCAGCTTCCATATATATGGCAGTATTGTGGCATAGGRAAATACTGCATTACATAATGTTGCTTGTCTCTTGCGTGAAGCAGTGGGAATGAGATCAAGATTTTGTCGATCAGGAAGAAGACATTTCTTCTGTGGGCATGATAACGAAAATGCATGAAATGGGGCCACAAAAAAAAAAAAAGTAATTTCTAATATACTGCTAGAAAGAAAAATTTACGAGACCAGTGTAAATATGGCCTTATAAACAAAGTGAAGTTGTTCCCTGGCAATAAAGGTCACAGCCATAGTTCATCTTGGGTATGACACAAGGGTTTTGATCCATTGCCTATCAAGGACTGTGTGGTATAATTCATCCTCACGAATTTAAAGCGTGGAGTAACCCCCACTGTCTCATGTGAGTTGAACAGCATAACCTGCTCTKTGTTCATTCTGCCTAGCTGCTTAAAAAGCCTCTCTTTATTTATAACAGTGTTAGGTACCCTCAGTTTCAGTGTTGTCTCAATCTGGACTATCTGATGCTGGAAGACTTGTCTGTTTCTGAGGCACTTGGGAATTGTCTTTATTTTATTTTTTTTTTCTGAAAATCAGTGCCCACAAACTTGCCAAGCTGAGAGCAGGGCTGTTTGTCAGCTCGTTTGTGCCTGTACTGAGTGTAGGAAGTTGTTTTTACTCGTCGTGTCCACAGCGATTATGCAGAAACCTGCCTGAGGTGGAAGTGTTATCAGGGAGAGGCGACATACTAGGAGATCATCCTGGGAAGGGGAACGTTGGTGGGTGCCCCACTCTCAGTCCTGAGACCCTACTACTGTACAGCTGACTGTACTGGTGGCTTCTGGATTCATGGCTTTCTGAGTGGAAGTTCAGTGTCTCAAGAGAAGAGACCCTTGTCTTCCGCTGGTATAAACCTGCAGTGATTCACACAACTGAATATTGAGAGTGTATTTCTGAGAACACGTCAAAGCTTTGTGGTTCTGCAGCATGAACAACACTATGCSGTGGGTACCCCTTTTGCTGAGAGGGAGCTGCAGGTCGTTCCATCTTCAGTGCCTCGTTCCAAAGGTTTGCAGCAGGTGGGTGGGCGGGAAGGCCCTGTGCGGTGGTCCCGCTCCGCGCGGGCGCCAGGGCCGTCTGCGAGGGGGACGCTGCCCGGTCCACCTCGATCCGGAGCGCGGGCAGGAAGGAAACAGAAGATGGTTTCGTGATGCGTGAGACTTTGCCTGGCTTTGGCTTTGGCTTTGGGGGGCTGTGGAGAGACCTTCACCCAAGCCAGGACACCTGGCAAAGGTCTCTCTGTTCCAGTCACCCGCTGGCAGTTCCTGGGAGAGCAGCAYGAAGTCTTCCCTCTGTGGACGGATTTAAGTACTCCGAGTGCCTCCCTGCCAACCAGATACTATTTTATGTCATTGCCTGCATTACCAAAATTGGAATATGGAGCCAGATACTTAGACCCTTGGCCATTGAAAATGTCTTGCTTCTCAATCAGCAACTTCTACAGCAAGTTACGATAGCCTTTCTCTCACTTGCTCATTCTCTCTACTACACAAACATATTTTTAAAGTAGTCTCTTACAACTGGCTTGTCTGGCTTGTGCTGAAGCCATTGCTGAAACTTGTTTTTCTCCTCAGTGTATGGAGATTTTTAAATTGATACTCAGTTCCAACAGATTGTACTGGCTAAGCCCTTTAAACCTTAAGATGACTTGTCTACCAAATACAGAGGAAAAATGCATTAATGATGCATTACGAAGTATTAGTTGAAAGACACAGAAATAACCTTTCTTTTTTGTGGCATTTAGGGGGATACGGAAGAGGAAAGAGGAGGAACCAGGAAGGAAATGATTCAGTGGATTCATAACAAGATTGCTCTTTCTGTATTTACCTGTTTCTGTGCATTATTATTAATATTCCAAGTGAATTTCCCTGTGAGGCAGTGGGGACGATTCTTGCAGCTTTGAGTGGTTGTGCAGGGGAAAGCTCTGCCTCAGGTGTCACATGTAACCAAACCTGCTGTGAGCTGCAACAGCGAGAAAGATTCCTGCCCCCGGGGGAATTCTTYTTTTTCCCTCCCCAAGTCGTTGCCATGCTGGATAGAGGGGAGGGATCAGGCACATGGCAAAAATCAAGCGTATTTTCTGTACTATTAATTAGAAAGCTATCCCAGTTGTTATGTATCGCTTACAAGCTAAAGAGAGAGTGCCTTTTGTAATGAGACCGTGGTAGAAATGCCTTTCTCGTCAGCATAGCTCAGAGTTCTGCACGTCGTAACGTGCAGTGATTTCTCGGAGCCCCCTGGAGCTGGGCGCAGCGTGCCGCGGCACGCCGGCCGCCGCTGCGCTCTGCCTCCCTCTGCCAGCTGCTTTTCTTGGCAGGGACCTGGGAACAGTCGGYGCCGTCGCCATAGACAGCGAAGGGAACGTCGCCTGTGCCACATCCACGGGAGGACTCTCCAACAAGCTGACCGGCCGTGTTGGTGACACAGCCTGCATAGGTACGGGCAGTTGTCTTGCTTAAGAACACATACAGTCTCGCTGCTTTTAGGGAATTGAAACAGGAATATTAGAAAGTATGAAACAGTTTCTTGCTAACATTCAGTATATCAAAGTTTTGGCTCCGTTGTACAACATGGGAGCTGCAAGTAGAGAGTTGAAATAGAACAGGTGAATTGTCATCATCATCCTCCAAGACTTCTTTGATTTGGGAAAATAATAGCATTCAATCTGATTATTTTCTTTTTCCTGTGTGTCCTTTCTGTTCATTTTAATAATGTTATCCTTATTCCTTGCTCACAGTTAAGTCAAAAATGTACCCTGTTCTGCACTAAAATGCTCTTTTTCTTGATACTTAGGAAGGAGGTGTAACTATAATGACTGTGGTTTCATGCTACAGGCAGCCCAAAGTCCGAAATGACTGGCAACTTGGAAAAGATTCCTGCTCTTGGAGAGCCCAGATAAGACTGCAGCAGAACCTAGGAGCTGCGGTGTGGAAWAAAGGAAATATTTTAAGAGGTCTCTTACCCAAGTGTAGAGAGGCACTTGAAATCCCTTCCCCAGGCTGGTTCCTCTCATGGGACAGACTTGCCCTTTGATTACCTCAGGACTCTGTCAGAGAGTTGGGATTTGGGAAATAGTTATTTTTAGTAAAATATGTTCCAAACACAGACAGCGCCACTGTTGGCAGCTTGTTATTATCATAGACTTTTTCTCATGTCCCAAACAACTGATATTCTGATACCCCCTGCRTTTTGAGAGCAATTTTTTCTTAATTTCTGATTGCAGCCTTCCCAGCGTGCTGTTGCCTGCAACTTTTCCCTTTACTAGAGGTGTGTGTGGCTGGGTGCAGAAAAGCTRGTGATGCCTCTAGCTGTCCCAGCCTTTGGCCCAGCAACAGTTTGAAAAGGGGGTTGGCAACTGTGGCCAAATGTTTCACGTGTAAATCGGGGTCTGTTGTAAGGGAGCTGTGAGATGAGGAAAGTAGGGGAGGGAAGGATCCCTTGCTGTTCTGCCTGGCCTCCTTGCCCTCCCTSTGTGCCTTGCTCCATTCACTCCCTGCGTGCTCCTGCCTGGGCTCCTGGGAGGTGCTTCCCTCTGGAGTCCTGCTGGAAGCGGGGGTGTCAGGTTAGTGGAAGCTTGGTGGAGAGCAGATTGGGGAACAGGGTGCCTGCAAAACAGGGGAAAAAGAGGGAAGTGGATGGTAGAAGCAGCACCCTGCTTGAGATGAGGGGGTGGGAGTTTTTCAGGAGAGCTTCATGACGCTGCACTGGGGCCCAGGCTCTTGAAATCCCTCATCTGCCTTCGCAGTGTCYGTTTCCTTCATGTCCTCTGTAGTAGCAGTGTTTCCTGACCGGGTGTTCTGCGCCCCACTGTTATCCTGCCGATCCGCAACGTGTCCTCCCTTGCTCTCCTGGAAAATGCTTATGCCCCCCAGAGCCACCCCGTGAAGCCCCAGCCTCCTCTTGCTGCTTCTGCTCCAGGCAAATCACTGGTTTTCCAGCACTCCTAACTTGGCACTTGGCTTCCTCCTGCTGCTGCCGAGTTCTCTCATGCGTTSTGCTGTGGAGAGAGGCAGAAAAGAGCAAGGAGGTAGTTGCTGACATTGCTCCTAGAAGTGATCAGACCTTCCTTACCGTCAGGAAGAAATGGTTGATACCTTGGTTTTGTTATTTTTCTTTAATAACACAGAGTTGGAATCTATATTACAGAGTATTACCGTTTTTTTCTTTCCTTTGCCAAGGAAGTGGAGGTTATGCTGACAACTGCTGTGGTGCCGTTTCCACCACGGGACACGGGGAGAGCATTATGAAAGTGGTCTTAGCCCGGCTGGTCCTCCATCACRTGGAGCAAGGTGGGTTTCAAACCTCCTGTCAGCTGAAATAAGGACAGCAAATGTTGCCCAACCACAGGTCTAGGTTCGTGTGCCATTGTTGCGGAGCTGTTGTCCAAACAGTAACTTCCAGGAGTTCTGTGGTTGGATTATCCCCCTTAAAAACAAACAAAAAAGCCCTGAAGCAATAAAAGTGATAACATGGCCTTAAATGGACRGAAATCTCTCTGCTGCTTGATGCTGAATCATATCCTAGGACAATGTATGTTGCAAGATGCTGGCTACTCTGTCATGTTAAACTTTCTTTGAGAAAGTTTTGTTCACGAAAATCAGTTAAAAATTGGAAAAAAAAGAGATTTTTAGCAGAGATTACGGGAAGATTAGAGAGAAAAATCAAAGCAGTAGTAAGAAAGCACAGAGTATCACATTTCTAATGAGCTGTAATGGTCCCTGTTTTAAAAGCATTGATTATAGCAACAGAAGTGCTGGAAAGACACTTCAGAATAGCTACGCTTTAAAATTTCATTTTGTTTTGGCAAGTGCCCTGAGCTGGCTGGCTGGGTGTGTGGTCAGCAGCTGACACCGGGTGTCCTGTGCGGCTGTAGCGGGATCGGCCTGTGGGCCGCCCGCGGGGAGCTTCGGGAGGGAGCCTGGCACCCAAACCCTCCGCGGGGCAGCCTGCTCTGTCTGGGGAGAGCCGGGCTTCGGGCACGGGGGAGCTGTGGCCTAAATCCCTGGGAGATCAGTGCAGCGGGAAAAGTTGGGAGAACCTTCGGTTTGCCTTTTTGTTAGAGAAGCAGTAAACAGGGAGACAAATAACAGCTGAGAGTGTTTTTGTTATGCTTCATGGGGCTGTTTTCACACTAGATCCGTATTTCTCTGCAGTTCTCCTGTTTCATTTCAAGGTTTCAGCATAAAATACACGAGGGGGTTATTTTTCAAAGTTCCAACTTCTCACTGTCTCTCCTCACTCTCTTAGAAATGGCTTTCTAAACTCTGTTTAATCTGACTTGTGCAAGGCAGTTTCTTCTCGTGCTTGAAGTTACCTTCACTGCAAAAAGCGCTGATTGTTATTTTGCCCGTGCCTTACTAGTAGGGAAAGAGAATGAGGATCAAATGAAAAGAAAAAAATAAGAGTGAGGAAGGGGTGCAAGAGAAAAACGACTTGCATGTTAAATAATAATAATAATAATAATAGTAATAGTAAGTGGTTTGCACTTGTTGCCCACAACTGTGCTTACCTCCATTCAGCCTGCCCAGGAGGGCAGGTGCAACTTGGCTGCCAGGGAAGAGCAGCAGCAATAGGCAGTTCCTGCACGTTTCGAGGAAGGTGCTGAAAATAAATTCCCCTAATTACTGCAGCTTCTGAGTCCTTGAGCTGTCAACCGAAGCAGCGTGTTGAAGAACAACTGTAAAACTGAACACACTCTTCAGTCTTCACTCATTTGCACAGTGCATATTTTGGGACCAATATGGCAAAATAAATTTACATGCCTAGAGAGGAAMTTGTTTTGTAAGTCTTAATAGCCACTGGAATCTGGGCCTTATGGAGACAGCTGCTGTCATGATGAAAAGCTCATACGGTGAAATGCTGCCCCTTGGACCCKGCAGTGTGGGTTTGCTCTTGACTCCAAGTTGGGAGAGGAGGGCTGCAGGTCAGTTGTTCTGCAGCTGAAGCTGCCTAACGTTGTGGATGACAGATATCTTGGAAGAGTGGAACAAAGCTAACTGCCTTCCTGAGTGGATACTCAGACTCGTAGGGAGCAAATATCCTCTGGCTATTACAGGCTTCTGTATGTGATACACATGGTAATTTTTTCTCTATATTCCTGTTAGTATAAATGATCATGTTGAATGAATATGAGGTTACAAAAAGATGAAATTGCTCTGCTGCTGCTTTCCCTGATGGCTAGTCCTTTTAGTCCTCATCTTCCCAGGTGGGTTCTGAAGCTTCAGGAAGAGCAACACCCATGTCCGTGTGTGATAAATTGTGGAAGTGCATGCTTTGAGTTCCACTGTGTCCGGTGGGCTTGGAGTACACATAATGCCTGAAAAATGTGACTATTTTCATGTGTATTTAAATCTTAAATGCCTTAGACCCAGTCTGTGACAGGCCTCAGATAGAAAGCTTGCAGGCTCCATTTTCCCCCGTAAATGCTGGCACGTGAGATGCATCCTGAACACAGAGCTGTGAGTTGGGCTCTGCTGAGGCCTGGAAGTGAAGTGTAATCCAGAAGTGTCGAGCTGCCATCCTTGCAGCAGCAGCCACCTGCAGCCATGCAGGGCCACCCTCTGTGGCGGGCAGCTCCTGGGCTGTGCTCACCGGTTTAGTCGGAGCAGGAATTAGTTTTGCTCAGCTCAGCAACGGGGGGGTCGTAACGTTTTTCCCAGAGCGACAGCGTGTGGGTAACTTGTTCTTCCTTGCAGGAATGGCCCCGGCGGCGGCTGCCGACGCCGCGCTGGACTACATGAAGAGGCGGGTCGGGGGCCTGGGCGGCGTCATCGTTGTGAGCAGCTCGGGCCAGTGGGCAGCCAGGTTCTCCACCCAGCAGATGTCCTGGGCTGCTGTGCAGGATGAGCAGCTGCTCCATGGGATCTACGCTGGGGAGCAGCACACGGAGCCCCTGGAGCAAGCGCTTGCAGCCCACTGCGACAGGCTCTGAGGAGGAGGATGCTGGGCAGCAAGGAAGGACAAAGTTTGCCCATTTCTGCTTGAGGGTGATGACAATGTAATCCTTCCAGAGGATCTGTGCTCTGGGTTAGCTCACGGGTGTTCACCGTCAAAATGAAAGCTGGGCAAAGCTTTTCCTAAGAGTTGGGAAGGGTGATGTGTGCTGGGACTCCTGTTCACAGGCATCAGACCTAGAATTAAAAAACAAAGACCACAACAAAGTATTTCAAAACATTTTAATGTTTTGGAATATGACTGGACCATTAACAGTAAGGACTACTGACTGGCATGGTAGCGGTAAAGAAGGTCATGATTTCAACAAAAAATAAGTTTCACAGCGTAAATATGTAGGTGATAGGCACCATGTTTAGACTTAACATGACTGCGATTTATGATGACTAACTGGAAAGTAATTCTGTACAAGAAGTCACATCATAAAATCAAGCTGTGCTAACACAAATATAACTGTCCTTCTTAACAAACATCTTGTGTGAAACCTGAAGTATTTTTGGAGAGATTTTGATTGTTTTTTCTTTAAAAAGATAAATAATATTAAACTATATGATTTAAAAATTATATTCTGCATTATCTCTTTTTGCAGTACAGTTTCTTCATCAAGATTTGGTGTTTCTGAAGGAAATAAAGAGCAAGAATATTTCATGGATTTTTTTTTCTGTTTTCTAACTTTAATCATTTGTGTATTAAAACAGTGCAATCACCTTTATGTTTTAGCTAGTGCCGTGACTTCTGTTTCCTCTGAAGAAATACACAGATTTGTATATTCTAATTATATGGCATTGTACTGTGGAATGTTCCCTTTACAAGATAACCCAAATAAACATAGAAGAAAATCTTTGGGTATGTTTTGATATTATTCATACCTGTATCCCAACTCCAGTAAGCTGTGTCACTGACTTGGCTTATACTAAATGGCAGCGTTGTCAAGATCATCTAATCTCTTCTCTACATTAATCCGTGTTTTATTAGATGTTGCAGATGACTGGATGTGGACAGTGATGGACAGAGGAGGCAGCTCTCGCACCCTTGCTGTGCTCAGGTACTTGGTTGCACAAGAGAACAGAGAATGGCTGCTGATCTGATCATGGGCAGTTTATGAAATCGTAACAGAACCTAAGATGTGGCTGTCTTTAAAGTCAAAGAGAAACACTCAGTCTTGTGAGTCAAACCTGATTTGTTTCTCTGGTGCATTAGGCACTGATCTCACAGGACCAGACTTATTTTCCAGAAGAAAGCAGCATTGTCTTAATTTCATTGCCAGAATCTCAATCCAGGTTTTAATGGTCAAGAGTCTGCTTTGTTTAGATGAACTGTACCTAGCTGCAAGATCAAATTTAGGACAGACAGTAGAAAAAAAGGATAAAACGATGGCTTGATTTAGGACAGCCAGGAGAAAAAAAAAAAAAAAAAAAAAAAAAGGGCTAAAAAATTTCTGCTAAATATCATTTTGCAACATTGCCTTGATCATTTTTTTCTTGTAATTGGGAGAAAAAGAAAAAGATTGAACTTAGTTTTCCAGAGCTAAATCGTGATTATAAGCATGGGTGTGGGCTGTTTAGCTCTGGGCTGACCAAGAACGAAGTGACTTGGTGCAGCAGCAAGTGCAGGCTCATGGACCTGCCGAGTGCTTTGTTGGCTGCGCTGGCGTGGTGCTCATGCCGACAGCGGCCTGCGGTAGCCACAAGTTCACGTCTGTCCACAAGGCCCCGTGAGCCACAGGAGCAGCACAGATGCAAKGTCAGGGCTGCCACGATTGCCGGTGAACAGTTACTTAATTCACCTCAGCTGTACTTGGGAATACAACGTAATGAACTGCCACCGCTTGACAAAGAGCATTATTCTGCACAGGTTTCTGTATCACTCATCACCAGCCTAGCTGGGCGCTTTCCAGCAGTGCATGGAGCAATGTGACTCCCATGTGTTCCATGTGATCTGGCTTCCCTGTTCCTTGGTAGCTTGCTGTACGTATGGTCCCTTGTTGCGAAAAAGTGTGTTTTTCAAAAATACGCATGTGTTATGTCTGTTTGACTGCAGGAAGGTTGGAAGTGAAGCCTGCCCTGCTTGGTCATGATGGCTCTTACAGCCCTTGGAGTTTGCTGCGCAGTGAAGTCATAGAATYACAGAACCCTTAAGCTTGGAAGGGACCTCTAGAGATGATCAAATCTAACCTCCTGCACACACTAGAGCACGGGGCACAGGGTGGCATCCGAGCRGGTCTTGAAGATCTCCAGAAAAAGAGGCTCCGCAACCTCCCTGGGCAGCCTGTTCCAGGGCTCTGTCACCCTCACAGGAAAGAAATTTTTCCTTAAGTCCCTGTGGAACTTTAGGTGCTTAAGTTTGTGGCCGTTTCCTCTATTTCTGTCACTGGCCACCACTGAAAGGAGGCTGGTCCCATCCTCTTCCTTTGAGGTATTTATACACACTGATCAGGTYYCCCCTCAGCCTCCTCTTCTCCAGGCTGAACAGGCCCAGCTCCTTCAGCCTTTGCTCACAGGGCAGATGTTCCAGGCCCCAATCATCCTTGAAGCCCTGCGCTATGAAGTGACGGCGCCCCACGCAGAGCTCRAGCGCTGCCTTGCCCCTCTGTTTGTGTTTTTCCAGCTAGCTGAGCGAGTCAAAGCTAATCACAGATCCATATATTAAMCTCCCTGTAATGTCAACGGCAGATTCAGCTGTTTTCTAGGACAGTGTTTTCCTTTTTCATCAGAAGGTGGGATGGCAGTAAGTGGTTAGGGATGCACGTAGTGCTCTAACTAATCGGGGACCTGACGGGAAGCTCTTGTCGTCTCCTGTCTCCCTGGCCCCTTTCACACAGGCTCTTTTGGTGGAACACCAAGGGCTCTGCTCCTGCTGGTGGGGGGAAGCTGCTGGTGCTGCAGGAAGCTACCTGATGTCTGAACATGCTCACATGTCCCCTTATTTTGTGTGTTTTACAAAATTCCCCATACTAGGGCCTTAGCACTCAACAGATTTTACAAATACAGTTGAAGGACTAACTTCAGGGGAACCTTTCCCAGGGAGAGGAGGTTGCATGGTGGTGGTGTGCACTGCCAGTGGAGACGATCCTTTAATTCAAATGGTCGTGACCTGGATATCAAGGAAGGAAAATCAGAGGTCTGCTGCCAAGAAACTGAGTGTCCTTGGCATGTAGCAGAGCAGCAACAGTTTTAATTATCTAATTAAAATGTGGCATCCCRTTATTTTACATTGTTTATAATACTAGTTGTGTATGTGTGTGGTGGTTTTGTTTTTACTTTTTCTAACTGCAAAGTAAAAAAGATTCCTGGCCTGAGATGGCAGCAGCAAATGGAGGGTGTACCATAAAAATGAAGTTGCAGCAAAGCAGCAAGGCGCTGACTGTTGATGGTAGTCACAAACTGTTAGCTCCATGTATGTTTTCCTTGTTAATCTTTGCAAGTTACAAGTAAGTGAAAAATCCTCTGTGAGAGATGTAGGACATTTCTGTTTGGAAACTTGTTTTTATTTTTTCTTAGTTTTCAACTTTGTCCTACATTTTTAGCTCTGTGTCTCTGGGGTGGTTTTCGCTGACTTTGAAATCTGTCTTGGCAGAGTTGAATGGCCCTCACTGTTCTGCTCGTTTCTTTTCGAGAACGCCTTGCCTTTGATTCGCCCCGATAAACATTTGCCGGGGGACAGATCTCAGTCTTGATTGCGTCAGTACAAATTMCAAGCAGAGTCACCGAGGTGCCCGACTCCGCTCAGTTAGGTGGGCCCGCGCGTGGGCCTGCGCGTCGCCACTCGGTGTCCCCGTGGCCTCGCAGCCTCCCCGCTGAGGAGAGCGCAGGGCGGCAGGGCGGCTCTGGGCCGCAGCCTCACCCCGAGCCGTGCCCAGGAGGAGACGATGCCAGGACAACGGCTGTATCCATTCACTGGGGAATGAACAGGTGCCGGGTGATTCACACCGTGTAACGTGGCGTGGGCTTCTTGCCAATGAAGAAAGACCCGTTGGTTTAGACGCGTAAACAGGAGCGAGGGGAATCTTAGTCTCTACTCGCAGCTTGTGCTGCGACACAGCAGCCTTCACTAACTGAGCCCTGCTAGGCCTGGCCACGTGTGCCTTAACTCCAGTTATTTTTAACATCCTCGCCCTTTGGCCTTTGAGGTTCTGCCTGGTTGGAGAGGTTCTAGTTTTCTTGCAATTCCAAGTCCCTTTCTGCCGAGAATATGGTTTGGTCTCGGTGTGTGTAGTAGCCTCAAGCCCTGCCCTCCTGGCCCTCCTCMTACCTCCTTTGACTAAGGAAGGCAAACACAAGCCTAGCTGTGCTAGCCTAACTCCTGTGAGTTCGAGTGACAGCAAAACAGATGTGCGCAGCAGTTCTGGTTTAGCACTGGCTTTAGCTCTTAGAAACTCTCATGTGGCTGCTGCTGGTAGCTTCAAGAACAGATGAAATAAACTTTCTGTCCTGAGCTGCAAAAAGTGCACCCTTCCGGAGCGCTCGTGCCCTCTGTCCTTGGCACTGATTCCTCTCCTGTAAGAGAGGTACCGGCATATTCGGTATTTGTGTCTTCTCTGTATGAGATAAGCTRTCTTTAAAAAGGAAAAGAGTCATCATGACTTTATGAAGGAGACTTTACCTAGCTATCATTTTACCTACAGAGAGGCCTTTGGGAAATAACGGGGCTCAGCTAGACCCCTGCAAGGGGGACGTTCAGAAATGACTCTGGGCAAAATGAGCAGAACCTGGCACTCGGTCAAGGAYTTGGAGCCAGAGGGAATCTCAGTCATTATCTGTGCTTACTTCCTAAATAAACAGGCCATAATCCTTATCTCRACTATTTCTGCATTATGCTGATATTTTCAGTTGAAATACGGTCTGCTTGTACCACTGCCTGAAAAAAAAAAAGAGGACAGGACACTCATTAAGAGAAAGCATGTGAATTATGTTTAAAATAATTTTGTTTTCAAATATTTGAGGAAAAAAATGACATTTTATGTGGTAGATAGTAGTTCTAAGTGTTCTCGCTTTTTCAAAGTCTTTTGTGCTGCCATCAGGAATCCCTAGGAATCCCTGCAGGACGAGTGCAAGTTTGTTAGAAATAGAGCTGGTATTTCAGATCCATCAAGGCAAGGCAAATGTTTTCCTGGAGACAAACTTGAACAAGTCTTGCCTGTAACAGCCGCATTTGTGTAACAACTCACATCTTCAGAGAAGCTACGGAAGCTGGGAACTGATCTGCTCAGCTTCTCAGTGGAGAACAAAGTTTATTCTATTTGAGCAATCTCATTCTGGTGTACATACAGGGAGATTAAACTACTGCATTGGAACTGCAGAATGTAGCTGARGCAGAGTCGGGATTAAAATATTGATTTCTGACCTCCATAGTGCCAGGCTCAGTTCACTACATTATGTTGTTTTCACGAATAACATTTAGAGAAATAGATCTTGACATATCAGAAATGTGGTAGACTCTCAGTAAATTGAGCAGGGCTTTAGCTGTTCMATTTATGTGATTTGTGTGTGCCTTATGCTTGGTCTTAGGAATCTCAGTAACTGCTGTATATTTACAGCGAAACTCACTTACAGCCTGAAGCATACTAGAAATTTTTTCCCTGAAGCAGAAATAAAAGAGGTATTTATGGTAAGTTCTTGTTGTCACATTGAGATTTGCAAATACGTTCCTTCAAAGGAACATTCTTGTTCCACAAATTTGAACTTTAGCCTCAAAGTTCAAATACAAGTGCTTTTAATGAAGTCACCAGATGTCACGTTTGGATACTCAGTTTGATATCTGAGTGCCTAAACAGAGGCARGCGTGCACTTGAAAACTGAAATGAATTCTACAAAGAAAATAAAATAATTCAGATATGCTT